TGAGCCATTTTCTCCACTGACTATCCAGCTGTGAGTGGAACTATCTTTTATTTTACCAATCCATTGGCAGTATCTCTTTGCCAAATTTCTCAAGGTCATTTCCACATAGCATTACAGTTCCTGCACATATGCAGAATCTGAATAGGGTCTGTACCACGCTTGCCAATTCATATATGTTTTGCACCAGATCTCAGAGGTTGTCCCTCTCATTGCATCATGTACCCCACATTATCTTTATGTCAAGATTTAGAAAAATTTCCAGCTGATATTTACAAAGAAAGAGATAAATAGTTTCAGTGACCTGTAGCTTACTTCTGTTTGGATTACTGTATTGTGCTCTATCTCATACAGATTTTAATTGGTAAAGAATCTGGTTGCAGAAAAATAATTATATTCGGACACTGTAAGAATTGCATTATCGCCACTTATTTTTCTTAGCCCCATTCAAGGAGCAGAATAAACATTGATATGAAAAGATCCTCTAGATCTATTTCTACATATGAAGGCCTTTTCAAGTGGCCATTGGCAAGTGAAAGGTAGCAAGCATGTATGAATGAAAAAAATTGACACTGTCCATCACAAATACCTTGTTTCTGATGTTTCTGATGACCAATACAGATTTTTTTAAACATTTTTTAAAAATTCTGCATGATTTATTTATAATTTCTGAATTTCTTTATCATCTTGTTTTTAATTTTGATTTTTCTCTGTGCCCAGCCAGATATCTTTCTGATGAAGGCAATCTAGAAATAGCATAAAATATAATGACTGACTTCTCTTGATCTTATATTCACAATAAATACCTACATATGAGCTACTCTATTTATGATAATTCCCTCATCATCTATAACATCTATCTTTCAACTTACAAATTGGTAAAAGGAGAACCATCTGGTGTGGGAACAATGGGATGTTTTCTTGTGGTTTCTCCTTCTAATGTATTTGGGAAATCGTTAAAAATTTTTTTACAGGTAGTCCCCACTTAAGCAACCACTAGTTCAAACAAATGTTTGAAATTGCAACAGTGTTGAATGAAGGATATCTATTCATCAGTCTTCTAAGTCTTCTAAGTTCACTAGATTGCGATTTGGATATTCAGGAATCAATTTGCAACTAACAGTGATAGTAGCATCCTGCCTGCTCTCACGTGATTGGCATTTGTGACCTTCTTTGCCATTTCCATAAGCACTCACACCTTCCTCAACTTTTGCACAGCTTGTGCTGGGCCTCCCCGGACATCCTGTATCACCTGCATCACCCTTGTTTTCTTCAGTTGGGACTCCCCCTGCCTGCTTAAGGATCCGTGCATCTTGGTATTAGAGGGAGTTGCCCCTAGACCAGATGGGTGGTGAAAGAAAGAAAGGAAGGAAGGAAGGAAAGAAAGAAAGGAAAGAAAGAAAGAAAGAAAGAAAGAAGAAAGAAAGAAAGAAAGAAAGAAAGAAAGAAAGAAAGAAAGAAAGAAAGAAAGAAAGAAAGAGACTGTCTGGATTGTCATTGTTAAGGGTTGTGGTTGTCATTGTTAAAGGTTGTGGTCACATGATATCATGGTTTAAAATTGCATTGCTTAGCAATGGTAGTCCCAGTCCCAAATGGCATTGTAACCTGATCATTACCTGTAATTATCTGTGCAACTGCCATCTATTGTGTAAACTTTCATAATATGTGAAATATTTTTGTCTTTAAAAAACTACTTTTCAATACCATAATATATAAAATAAAAGAAAGAAAAAATGTTGTTTTTTTATCTTGAAGGATAACTGTCATGGTTGACTTGGTACGCAGCCATAATAACAGTAATGGGAAAGGGGAGGCAATGCATTGTAAGGGAAGGTTGGAAAGAGAAATTTGGAATGCAAATGTGATGACTGGAAGCTTAAGACAGACCCAATAACCCAAGGTCACTGGCTGGGAACGTCTGAGGTATAAAAACTAGTCCCAAAACAAAGCAAGTATAAATGATTGGTGGACAATAGATAATGGGAGGCCCAGGGGGGGAAAGGGAAAGTTTTCCTATACTGTTTGTGCACGAAATACTTAGAACTGACTTTTCTACTTCTATGGAATCCTCAGTAAAATTATACTCTTGGTAAAAAAAAAATGTCCCAGGAGTTACTTTTGCTGTCTAGTCCAGTGTGACAGTTGACAATATCATTGTCAAGCTTTTTGCTTGATACAAGACTAAATAATTTGGGGCTTCAGAAATGACCAAGGCTGTGCTGAACAATTATTCATAGGAAATCCAGCTAACACAGTGGCTGGTGAAAGGCAAATTCTAGTTTGGTAACATAGATCTGCATTGCTGGTTTGAACTGAATAATATATTAAAATACAGTTGAGCATTAGTTTTATTTATGTCGGTCTTTATTTTATTTTTTTATAAATAAGATGGAAAACATTTCCAACACACTTTCCTCCTCCATTTTCTCTACAACAGCAACCCTGTGGGCTGAGAAAAAGTGACCGGCACAAGTTACCTAGGCAGCTTTCATATGTAAGACAGCACTAGAACTCACAGTCTCCTGATTTCTAGCCTTTGCCTTAACTGTAAAGCTTTTCTCTCATTTTTCTCTCCATAAATTTTCTGTTGCAAATTCCCATGACTGGTAAAGGTCTACCCATTCTAGCATCCACTAATAATGCTAGAACTATATAGTTAGGAGGATTCTCAGCCAGCCTGGCTGGTAAGAATTTGAAAAATTTTAAGAGGTGTCCATTAAAAAAGAGTGTCATAATATAACATGTTATATAAAAGAAGCAGCAGCTTTGCTCAAATTCTGAACGGGGCATACTTAAAAACTGTAAGCAAGAAACTCAGTCCTGAGTGTGTCGCTCCAGTATCTGGATTACCTGGTTTTATTAACTTTTCATGATCTTCCAAAAGTGTTAACTCACCTTACCTAAAAAATGTTAGACAATGTGATATGATGTTCCAAAACAGTGTGTTTTTTCTTCTAAAGCCTTTTTTTTTTTTTTTGCAAGACCTTTGGACAGGTTGTTTTGATTTTAGAGATCTAGCAACATTTTTAGGAAAGTGTTTCTTGACCTTATTTCTCAGTTTTAAGATGCATCAATGAGGAATTGTTGAAATTAAAGTCCACAAATCTTGATTCTTTTCCTGGCAAACTATGGCTATGTAGTTTCTAGGTTTTGCCCAGTCTTCTAATGTATTCACCATGAATAAATGTACATTCAGTTGTAATCAGAAGCCCTACTTCATCAATCCTTGCCCAAGTTAGTTTCCCATTCACAGGTACATACAGAAGGTCTCTGCCTCCAACATGCAAAGGCATTTTCTAGGATGGTTTTAATTTCAAACTCAATTTCATTGAGGCCACATTAGCATTATGGTTACCCTCAAAAGGCCAGTTGAACTGAAGAAGCTTCTTGGATGAGAAGCTAAACATCTTCAAAAAAAAAAAAACCAGAAAGTCCAGTTGCCTCTTGAAAAAGTATCTTTCTGGCCTCAAAGAGCAAATTGCATGTAAAAGTATGTATCTTATTAGTTCAGGAGTAAACTGATATGTTTTATATTTGAAATATGTTTAGCATTTTGGAGAACAAATGTTCAAAAATCATTTACATATGAAGATTCATGCATATTTTTAAAAATTGCATACAGTACTTAGAACTAATAATAGACAAAAACAGTTCATTTCTGATTGGGTCAGCCCTAGAGCGCAATTTGTGTATCTTATCTACAATAGGTATCTTATGAGTTGTGTATTTTGTGTGTGGGGGGGGCATAAATGTTAGGATTATATATTTGTGCTTTTTCATTTTCTTACCTTTTTATAAGAATATAATATAATATATAATTCAAATTATACAAATTATTTTATCTTGATTAAATAAAATCCACTCCCCATGTATTTTAATACTCATTTGATATTGAAATAGGTAAGAATCTGAAAACAACTTCTGAAGGGAAAGTTTTGGTGTCTACACACAAAGATTTAGGTTTACTTCCTTTGTTATTTTGTTACTTCATTAGTCATTTTATTTCATTCATCAAACCTGGATTTCTATGTGTCTAATCAGCATTTGTACAACTACTTCCTAACTGCTGCTATATGTGGCTTCAGCCAGTTTTAAACAGAAGCTTTATATATGCAGTTCAAAAAGAATATATTTTTCTTTTCCATTGTCTTTGCTTTCTATGGCACTAAAGGCTTAAGAATTTGATCATTTAATGGTAGCAATCCTGTGTACCAGGTGGCAGACATTCTCTAAGCCACATCTTTTTGGAAATGCACCAGCCAAAAGTCCTGGGCAGGGAAGGCAAGTGCACAGACCAGCCCACAAGCTCCTCGGACACTGGGACCCCACACACTTCTGTTTCCCCAAGGGGGTGCCCAGCCACACTTACTTCCTCCTTGAGGCTGCTGCTACTGTGCTCTCTCTACTTGGCCAGGTTGCTATAGTGGGTATGGGAGGGCAAAGTGTGTGGGTCAGAGGGAAGCTCAATCTTTCTCCATGTCTCCAATCTTTCTCCATGTGAGGAGACCCAACTTTGTAAGCAAAGCATCCTCAAAGATAAGATGTGAGATCACCAGGAGAGGGTTCAGGGAGGGAGCAAAGAATGGCAAAAGAGTAGCAGAGCTGCTGGTGGCCAAGTTCTAGAGCAGACCTTCCCTCTTTCTCATTTCAATCTTTCTTTCTTTCTTTCTTTCCTTCCTTCCTTCCTTCCTTCCTTCCTTCCTTCCTTCCTTCCTTCCTTCCTTCCTTCCTTCCTTCCTTCCTTCCTTCCTTCCTTCCCTCCCTCCCTCCCTCCCTCCCTCCCAGTATATTAAAGAAACAATTCTTTTAAAAAAGCAAACAAACTTTAATTTGAAAGTATATTAAACAGGATATATTTTAACTCAATAACTATAATAAGTGCAATATTTTCATATCATGGATCTGGCCAATACAGAGTCTAAATTTTTCCATAATTTTTTAAATTGATGTTAATAAATTAAAAGTATTAATTTATGAACATACATTCAAAACCTTGAATTTTAAATGTATTGTATCCAGTGGGCCTTATCCACAGCAAGATGCCAGTTATATTTGTTTATTTAATTCTTGATTGTCTACAAGAGATTGTGAATCCTTATGAAGAATAACCACATTGTCACTGTACAAAGAATTGTCAAATCCAGCAGAGACTTGTGGTCTGTTTCTTCTTCTATAGAAAATATAGGCTGCGATTCCTGCACCGATGACTATGAAGATAATTGGGATAATTACCCCCACAGCTGTGCCATGTGTTGATAGAAGTTCCCCTCCTTTCTGCACTAAAATACCAGAGAGAAAGAAAACCACTGAATACAGTTATATTATGATAAAACTCTGACTTTTTTTTAATTGAGAAAGAAGCCAAAAGAGATTGCATCCTATCTAGTAGTTTAATAAAGGCAGAGCTAACAAGAATGAACTAACCAATCCTAGGAATTTGTGAACTGTAACACAGTAAAAGGAAGTAACTGTAATGCATTGTTTTTTCCCATTCATTACAGATCCCAAAGGAAATTGATACGTGTTGCCTGTGGAAGATAAGGACTGAATTGACAGTCTTTTGATGTTAAGCTCAATGTTAGAGATGTGAATTCTTCCACAGCAAAACTAATTACAAATTGCTATGGTTATCATTTATTGCTAATCCTTTATTTGGGAAATGAAAATAATCATAATTAACTGAAAAATAATCATAAATATTCAGTCACACTAACTGAAGGAGGAGCACTTTCAAGACTTGGTTTCATAAATATCATCCAAGTGATCTCATCTATGGCAGGGGAAATTAGGAATACAGTTTTGGACTTTGACAGTATGGGAAACAAAAATCCTTCGACATTTAGTGAGATTTTATATTATCTTTTGCTGGCTTATTTTTTATCTTTTCCCCATCTCTCTCTCTCTTTTATTCTGCAACAAAACATGTTAGAGAGCTGTCATTTTATTTTATTTTTTCTAATGTAGAATGGTAATTTGATGATATACTGTAACTATAAAAATATAGTGGTTTATGATTGACAGGAATGATATTTGGGTAGCAGCTACCAAAATCTCCAAGTTGTGTAGAATAATAATGATCTATTCTAAGAAAAGAAAAAGAAAATGGCAACTGGCAGCCACCTCAAGGATTTTCATGGCTTCCATTCTATTAATATAGGAAAATTATGTGAAACAAAATTTAAGTATTGTTACTTAACAATTTAGTGGAGAAAATGTAAGTCTTCACAACAATGCTGAATATATGCTGTTTAAATCTTGTAATCTACAAAATATGTTCATCTATATTTGAGCTATGTATTAGAATTTTCAGCTCACAACTGGAAAATTTATTATTGAACTTTAAAAATAACATTCTTATCTCTTAAAATTACTTTCTTACCTGGTATTTTTGTAGTGTTTACAGCTGATTCTTCAATAACTAGAAAATAATCAAAAATGTTTTCAGTATGTAACTTCTGTCTATGTATTATTGCACACCACTAGGATAACAATGAAGAAGGATTTGCAAGGCAAATTTAAAAAATAAATTATCTGAATCACAGCATATTTTATAGTGAACCTTTATGATTCTTGAAGAAAGAATTATACACTATAGGACAATGTTAGATTCCCCCCCCCCCCCCGAAATATTTGGGTTTCCATTAACAGTTGATATTGTTTGATATCAATCTGAGTTCATGGGATATTCATTAGCTTAATGAAATTTTCATGATTGTTTTTCAGATATCTTTCAAAAATGATTAAGTACGAAACTAATATTTTAGTCTATAGATATAATATATAATGAGAAATACAAAATGTCAGAACTAATAACAGATACAAAGCAATCCAAAGTTTCCTACTTTCAAAATTTGCCTAAAATTTTATGAAATAAACTTTGGGTACCATCATCCTTGGCTATTGAGAATAGTTTTATTCAGTTCTGTATCCTGTGAGTACAGGATCAATTTTATTAATGCTATAAAACAGATGACATAATAATTAAGGGACAGCAAATGGTGCAAAAGAAATTTGTTCATTAAACTTTTATCAATTGCTAAAATTATAATTATTCATTTTAAAATATGACATTCAATCACTGCTAGAAAAAATTAATATATGTTTCAATTGAATATATTCAATATATTCAATATATTTCAGATAACATTATTTGAAACAGAAATTAAATAAGGAAAAAATGATAAAAAAGAAGGGAAAGAGGGAGGGAGGGAGGAGGGAAGGAAGGAAAACATTATATATTTTATAGTAGATAATTATAATTAGCAATCTAGAAAAGTAAGAAAAGATATAAGAAAAATAATAAGAACAACAAAAGGCCATAACAATAGATCAAGATGAGATCTCTTAAAATATGTAGTTAGAAAAACCTGCTCATCAAGAAATTAGAAATAAAGGAAAACTTTTCAAATATTCTTGGATATGTTTAAAAAGTGAGCAGATAATGACATAGTAAGAATAATTCCAAGAAACACCATTTAGGCAGAAAACAGAGAAGCTGCAGTATTTTAGGAAACTAATTCAATGCAGAGGTCCCCGCCATTGGGCCATGGCCAACTACAGGGCCTTGAGCAGTTCAGAACCAGGCTACAGAAGTGGTGGGCGAGAGTGTACACCCAAATACACCCAAACGCAACCCTGCTTGCATGAGCGAATGGCGGGCATAAATGGAGTTATGTGCATGCAGACACTTGCCTGCCACTTATGCGGAACCAACTACTCTCTCCCCCTTCTGGCCAGTCTACAAAGCCAGAAAGTATTTAGTACACAAATAATGTTTTCAATTTAATATTATGATATAATGATAATAATAAGGCTTACTTTTGTTTCTTTTACAAACAAATGTTCTTGATGAATAAGATCCACAGTAGCTTTCGAACCAAAATCCAGATTTACTATTCATGAAAATGCACCTGTTACTTAAGATCTCGCTTCTATCATTTTCTTCGTGATCATCTGGCTTATTCCAGTTGACAAAAGCGATGTTACTATTATCTTTCCACATCCATTCTCCTAAAGTTAAAATAAATGTATAGCATAATGATTAAAAAGAAAAAGAACTGCACTGTGATGAAAAGGTATATCCTATAGCTTTTTTCTCTAAAATTCCTGTAAACTCTGAAAAATTAGCCATCCGTAGACACATGGACATAAACAACATCTACATACTGTGCAAAAGAAACAATAAACAAGCCAAAAAGGTAACAAAAATACCAAAACCCTTCCCACCAGCAATCAATGCCTAGAGAACATAGATTAACACCAAGATTAACATCAGACCAACAGTCAAGAAGTAGATAATACCCCAAAGAACGAACTGCCAAATAAGCTAATAGTAAACACTCAAATCAAAAACTCTTAAGGCCACCATTGCTGATAGGACAAGTCATTAGAATATAAATTGAGAGCAAACCCCTTACTAGCACTGATTATGTTACCTATTTTGGGTAAAATGAAAGGTCTACAAGAAAACAAGTTTTCTTATTTCATCTCTGAGCTACAAATATTCTCCTTTTCAAGATTCTCCATCATATTATTTCTGTTTCTGGATGTTCTTTCCAGAACTGGACATTATTTTTATATATTTCCTCTTGGGCTTAATTCAAGATATCAGATCATTATTTCTTTATTTTACAAAGGGTAAATTAATTTCATCAGGCAATCCTGCAACAGTTGACTCTGGTTGCTGAATCCTGAGTCCTGTAGTCCATTTGTCACAAGATATCCAGGAACTTTACAACTAAATATGTAATGGTCCTTTTTTGTCCAGGGTGATGACTGATCTGGTATATATTTCTGTAAATCACATCTCACCATATTGTTTATAGAAGAGACATTAATCTCTGATGAGATCTGTCTGGTATGATTGAATACCTGGCATACCTCTCATCTTCCCCAGAGCACTCAAACCCCACAACTATATCAAGGTAGTGTTTTACTACCTATTACTAGCACATAGATAAATATTAGTTAAATAATTACCTTCCTGATTACTGTATAAGCCTATCCAAAACTCCATAGATCCAAGTATTTCCATTTCTTCCTTTAAAAAGTGTAATTCAACTGAATCTTTGATTGAAGTCAAGGCACCACCTATGAAACATGAAATGATCAAAGAAACTCATTAATGGGTTCGATTCCCACCCCACCAAAATAGGGGCAATTTTACAAGGCATAATCAATGAGTCATTCCCATCACAAGGAATAATTTCAGTTTTGAATCTCTTAAAGTAGAAAATAGTCCTCTGTTTCTAAAACGTATTAAATTTGTATTGCTTATTATGTTTATAGTGAAACACCACAGCAGCTTATCCTTTGAGTATAATGATATAGAAGTTAAACCTGGTAATTTAAGCAAACATTCTGCAAAAATAGTATTCTACACAATATACTGAAAAACAAACTTTTGTTCTAAATCTTCCTAAATGTTTGAGAGGCCCCACCCCAAAGAGATAGAAAAAAGAAAATGATCAAGTCTTCCAAAGTAGCTGATATTTCAAAGTATTCTATATTTATAAGATGCTTTAAAAAGAGTTAGAATTATTGCTTTCCAATATCATATATGCAATTCTTCTTTTAAAAAAGATATTGAAATACAGGTACATTCATTCTTATATCATGTGCAATTTGGAGAGTGCATATTATCCATAGAAAGAAAACAAAATTATGGCAAACAATAAAATATAGATTCCGAGGCACATGTTTTGATGACCAAAGTATTTCTCTTGATTCACTTCCTGAAGATGAACAGCGGTTGTTTGAAGGCTCAACACAGATATGTAATAGAATCATAAAATAAAAGGGCTGGAATGGACCTTAGAAATCTTCAAATCCAACCTCCTGCCCAAAGCAGGAATCCTTATATCATTCTGAACAAAAAAATGTATAATCTTTTCTCCTCCAGCAATGGAGCAACTAAACTTTGGGAGGCAAGCTATTCCAACGGTTAATTGTTCTCACTGCTCTCCTTATTATCTCTCTTTAAAAACTTATACTCATTGCTTCTGGTCCTAATTTCACGTGCTTTGAAGTTATCTCTCATCTCTTTGAAGTCAACCCCTCTCATCTCTGAGACTGCCACACTAGTACTCGAAGACAGCTATCATGTCATCCCTGATCTTTCTTTCGGTTGGGTTAGACATACCTATTTCCCTGAACTGTCCATCAAGGTTAATATAAACATTTAAGGTTAAGTTTAAGGTTACATCAAGATCTTCTTCAGCTCAGCTGAGTATATGAGAACATGCCCAGAAGATAATTCTATCAGGACTGCTAGTAAGATAAAGCTGCTACCTCTTTGCTTTCTGAGCTGATATGTCTTCTAGGCATGTCCAGACATATTGAAGACCCTTAAACAATCATACCAAGAATCAATTGACTATACCTGCTATGTGGCTTCAAGGAATGGATCTAACGGTAAATGCACATCCCTATCTTATCTTTATAATAAATAACTTTCTAGTACCATGAAATTGAAAGAAAGTTTCTATGTGGTGAAATATATAGCTATTCACCTCACCAGAGTATTTTGCTCAGTGGAAACCTTCCTTTTAGTAATTATTTTCAGTGCATGTGAAAAATAGAAAGGTATTTATTTCTCTTTATATTATACTCATTCTATATTCTATGTGAAAATATTTACAGACCCCTCACACCCCAGACATAAACTGTTTCAACTCCTACCCTCAAAACGACGCTATAGAGCACTATAGATCAGAAAGTCACAAGAACAGTTTTTTTTCCAAACGCCTTCATTCTGCTGAACAAATAATTCCCTCAACACTGTCTAACTATTTACCAAGTCTGCATTCCTGTTACTATTAAACTTCTCATCACCTATCCCCTCCCATTTGTGACTGTATGACTGTAACTTTGTCACTTGTATCCCTATGACTTATATTGACTGTTTCCTAGTATGATTTGATTCCTTATTGTACCCTATGACTATTATTATTATGTACCTTATGATTCTTGACTCTTGACGAATGTATCTTTTCTTTTATGTATACTGAGAGCATTTGCACCAAGACAAATTCCTTGTGTGTTCAATCACACTTGGGCAATAAAGAATTCTATTCTATTCTATTCTTTTCTATATGGTATCTTCCTACATTCTCAGCCTGTTCTAAAAATTGCTATTCTTATTACGTAGCTCAAAATGATACTAACCTATCTGATCACATAACAGGGCAGCATGTGACCAAGATGCCCATGAAAGGTAAAATTTATAGCAATGATCTCCAAAAGGAATCCAAGATTCTTGTCTGTTTTTGGAAGTTTGGCATTTTCCTGCTGATTGTAGCTTCTCAGTTGGTACTATACCTGTTGTGAAACAAATAGGTTTTCATTATAAAAAAAATTCCATATATTAGTAACTAGCCACTAAGAAAAATATTAGTAATATTAATAAAAAGTTGTAACATTGATAAATAAGCAATAATTACAATGATATAATGCAGTAATGTATAACCTAAATTTGTCATTTTCTAATTGAAAATTATTAGGCATGTATTATTTTTTAAAATTTAGCTTATCACTTTGTTGATACATATCACTTTTTACTAATTTTGCACTAACTGAAATTAAAATATAAACTCTATTAAAACAGACATATTAATTTACTTACCATTATATCTCTCACAAACAGAATAGTATTTTTCACTGCAGTTTCCTGTTTTCCAATAACCATCAATGTCTAGGTAGACACAGCCGGTGTTATGCCTTGGTTCTTCAGCAGCCCAGTTAGTGTATGCTAGCATCCATTTACTTACCCACTTATACCCAGCATCTCTCTAAAATCAAAAAGCATAAGGGAATTATTAGAGGAAGTGCAAGGAAAAGTATTATTTATTTAATCTAATAATTAAATTAATTATTTAATTAATTTTAATTAATTAAATAATTAATTCATATAGTTGATATTATTAATTAATTTGGCACCAAGATGGTGCTGCAGATGGCAGCCTTGGTGAAATGCTCTCTGATAGTTCTGCTGTTTTTATCATTCTCTGTGATTTACTACAGATTTCATATTCGAGACCAACTGCTAAGCATCAACAAAGTTTCTCTGACGCACAGCTTTCCATGACATCACTCTCCCTTGTCTTTACAAATGCAGAAGAATTTCTAACACAGGAAGAAGCAACTTCCTCTGAACAATGGATAAACAAAAACAAATGGAGGAAATGCCAGAAGCAAAGAGGCAAGCAAGAATTTTGAATAGATTAAGGAAAAGTGGGTTAAAATCCCCTCCCCCATCACTCTTTCTGACTAATTTACATTCACTCACTAATAAGATGGATTAAATGCTTCTTTTAAATAGATGCAACTGATTTTTACAACTCAGCAGCTCTCTGCTTTACTGAAACCTGACTAAATGAATCAATTGATGATAGCAAGTTGCATATCCCAAAGTTTCAGATACAAAGATTGGACAGAATTGCAGAAACATCAGGTAAAAAGAAGGGAGGAGGACTATTTATATATTAATAACCACTGGTGCCGAAATATACTATACTAAAGAAATTCTGTGATGTGTACTTAGATACATGAATTATCAATTGCAAACCATTTTATTCTTCACAATAGTTCTCCTCATTTATCCTAATTGCTCTGTAAGTTTCTCCACAATATGTAAACAATGCATTATGAACTCTAGCTGACCAGATTATGTAGGCTGAAGTTAAATACCCAGATTCATTTCCCATTGTTTTAGGAGATTTTAACAAAGCTAACTTAAGGAAAAGGCTACTAAAATATTTTCAGCATGTCAATTGTCTCATGAGATGCAAGAATACTTTAGATCAGTGGTTCCCAAAGTGGGCGGTACTGCCCCCTGGGGGGCAGTGGGATGCCTTAGGGGGTGCTAAGAGGGGGCGGGGGCATTCAAAGTGTGGCCCTGCAGGCTCACCCCATTGACTGTTGCACCACTCCGGAGCTGGTGCCTCGAATGCAGCAGCACATTGGGAAAAGCCACCACCACCGCATTCAAATCGCCAGTGCTGGTGTGGTGCAACAGTCAATGGGTGAGCCTGCAGGGCTGGAGCCTCAAACGCCCTCCTGCCACCTCTTAGTGCCCCTCTGCCAGCCCCCTTGGGGCTGCTAAGAGGGCAGGGGCAGTGCGTTGAACGCAGCACATTATGTGCCACTGCAGCTGCATTCGAGGCGCCAGCTCCAGAGCGGTGCAACAGTCAATGGGTGAGCCTGCAGGGCCGGTGCCTTGAATGCCCCCTGCTGCCTCTTAGCACCCCTCTGCCAGCCCCCTTGGGGATGCTAAGAGGTGATGAGGCATTTGAGGTGGCGGCCCTGCAGGCTCACCCCATTGACTGTTGTACCGCACTGGAGCTGGAGCCTCGAATGTGGCAGCACATTGGGAAAAGCCACCACCACTGTTTTCCAAAGTGCCACCGCTGTCGCCTTCTGTCTGTCTGTCCGTCCGTCTGTCCATCCATCCATCCAAAAGTCTGTCTGTCTGCCTGCCTTCCTACCTACCAACCTACCTGCCTGCCTGTCTGTCTACCTACCTACCTATCTACCTATCTACCAATATAGATCTATCTACCTACCTACCTAAGTATCTACCTATCTACCTATCCATCCATCCATCCAAAAGGTCTGTCTGTCTTCCTGCTTGCCTACCTGCCTGCCTGCCTGCCTACCTACCTACCTACCTACCTACCTACCTACCTATCTACCTCTCTCTCTCTCCATCCTTCCATGTTCGAAGCGCCGGCCCCGCAGGCACATCAGGAAAGTAGAGCAAAGCCAGTCTGGGAGGGAGGGAGGGAAGGAGGGAGGGAGGGAGAGAGAGAGAGAGAGAGAGAGAGAGAGAGAGAGCGCTGATGCATCAGATTGAAATGAGGCCTAGTTTAGACTGAGGCCCTTTTCCACATTGAAACCTCTTTGCTAGCACATTGAAACTTCTTTGGCTTCTATTAAAGGTTTTGTGCATGAAACATGGTCAAGACTATCAGGAAGACTATCAGGAACATTTTGTTGAGGCTTTAAACAGGATCCATTGGACCAGATTTCCACCCTAAAAAATTACTTTTCCCCAATGTATTACAGTGCCAATTCTGAAGAAGGCAAAACCAAAATGTACTGGTAAATTACAAGGAGAACACACACACACACACACACACACACACACACACACACACACACACACACACTCCCTTCTAACCCTGCTGGAGCAGGTGATTGGACTAGAATAGATATATCATTATCTTTCTCTTCCCTCCCTCCCTCCTTCTTTATTTCTTTTTCTTTCTGTCCTTTCCTTCCATCACCCCTTCTTTGACTATCCCTTTTTCTTTCTTTCCCTTTTCTCTTTCTTTTCTTCCTCTCTTTCTCTCTCTCTTTCTTTTCTCTCTCTTTCCCTCTCTCAGGCTCACCCCATTGACCTGGTGCACCGCTCCACTCGGACTTGCTTGGGCAGGTACCTCCAGTGCAGTGGGCTCAATGGGGTGGACCTGCGGCTAGCACCTAGAACGTGGCAATGGTGGCACATTTGAAAAGTAGAGCAAAGCCAGAGGTCAGTGATTTTTGCTGCAAAGAATCACAAAAGCTTCTGGATTGTGCACAAGAAGGGACACACATGTCAATGCAATTCAGCAACATAAAATAATGAGATATAAATAAAAATCAACAAGAATAGGCAAAGCATCTCTGATTAAATTCTATCAGAGATGCTTTGCCGATTCTAGTCCAATGACCTGCTCCAGCAGGGTTGAAGGGAGTGTGTCTGTATGTGTGTGCATGGCTGTTAAAACTCCAAAAACAGATCAAGTATTTCTTGGGAGGCCAGTCATAAATTAGAACACTTGCTAAACAACCGGCCATTAAGTGAGGACCACTTGTATTTGGTTTGCCAGTAACCTGGCCACGCCCACCCAGTCACATGACTAGCAAGCCACGTCTACCCAGTCACATGACCAGCAAGCCACACCCTCAAATTAGGCCACTCCCACAGTAATTTGAATCCCACCCCTGGGTGGGGGGCACCAAGGATGAGTTTGTAGCACCAAGGGGGCAGTGGACTGAAAAAATTTGGGAACCACTGCTTTAGATGATTGCTACACAACATTAAAAGATGCATATTGGTCTTTACCACGAGCAGCTGTGATCATTGCATGATTCACCTTGTACCTGCTTACATACAAAGACTTAAAACCATGAAACCAACAATTAAATCAGTTAAGACTTGGACTGAGGAGGCAAAACTAAAACTACAGGCTTGCCTTGACTGCACTGATTGGAATGTTTTTGAATATATACCTGCAGACTTGGATGAACTCACAGATACTATAACATCATATGTCTGTTTTTGTGAAGACCTACATGTGCCACAGAAACCTGTGAATATACAGTAGCAATAAACCTTGGTTCACAGTTAAACTTAAGCAGCTACATCATACCAGAGGAAGCCTACAGAAAAGGTGATAGAATGCTGTACAATCAGGCCAGAAATGTATTAACAAGAGAGATCAGAGTAGCAAAAAGAAGCTACTCTGAAAAGCTAAGGAATCAGTTCTCAACAAATGAACCAGCAAACATGTGGAAAACTCTTAAAAATAACACCGGTTACAGCAAACCTCCTTTCCATGCTGAAGGAAATCAACAACTGGAAGATGACTTGAATGTGTTTTACTGTAGGTTTGAGAGAAAACTACTGCCATCTATCTCCACAATCCCTATCTCAGACACACCAACAATAGCCAAGCCTCTTATAACTGACCCCATCCCATTGGCCCCACCACCTCTGGTGATTACAGAAAATGAGGTACAAAGTCTATTTCACAGACAAAAGCCAGGAAAAGCATCAGACTGAGACAAGATAACTCCTTCTTGCTTAAAAGCTTGTGCTGAACAACTGGCCCGCATCTTCACCTGAATCTTTAATAAATCACTAGAGGTGTGCTATGTTCCTTCTTGCTTCAAATGCTCTACTATCATCCCAAGAAACCCTCCATCAAGGAACAGAATGACTTCAGATCAGTAGTAATGAAAACCATTGAAAGGCTAATGCTGGCCCATCTGAAAACCATCACAGATCTGCTGTTAGACCCCTTACAATTTGCCTACTGAGCAAATAGATCGACAGATGATGCTGTTAACATGACTCTGCACAACATCTTGAATGTCCAAAGACCAATGCAAGAGTCCTCTTTGTAGATTTTAGCTCAGCATTCAATACCATCATTCCAGATATTCTTCCAACTAAACTAAATCAGCTAGTTGTACCTGACCACACTTGTAAATGGATCATAAGCTTCCTAATAGATAGGAAGCAGTAGGTGAACCTAGACAAATTAGATCAGATACTTATACAATTGGGTGGTGTGCTCTCTCCACTTCTCTCTATATACCAATGACTACATCTCAAAAGATCCTTCTGTTGAAGTACTGAAGTTTGCAGATAAAACAACAGTGATTGCTCTCATTCAAGACAATGATGAATCCGCATACAGATAGGTGGTTGAATAACTAGCCTTGTGGAACAATGATGAATCCGCAGACAGATGGGAGGTTGAACAACTAGCAACCAGAACAATCTTGAACTAAATACACTCAAAACAGTAGAAATGGTGGTAGATTTTAGGAGAAACTCTCCTATACTACTGCCTTTTACAATACTAGACAACACAATATCAACAGTAGAGACATTCAAGTTTCTAGGTGCTATCATATTTCAAGTCTAAAATGGACACCTAACATCAAAAATGTCATCAAAAAAGCACAACAAAGAATGTTCTTTCTGCATCAACTCAGAAAGCTTAAACTGCCCAAGGAGCTGCTGATTCAGTTCTACAGAGGAATTATTGAGTCTGTCATCTGCACCTCTATAACTGTCTGGTTTGTCTCTGCCATCAAAAAAGACAGACACAGACTTCAATGGGTAATTAGAACTGCAGAAAAAATAATTGCTACCAACCTGCCTTCCATTGAGAATCTGTATACTGCACAAGTCAAAAAGAGAGCAGTGAAACTATTTACAGATCCCTCACATCCTGGACATAAATTTTTCAACTTCTACCCTCAAAACGACGCTATAGGGCACTGAACACCAGAACAACTAGACACAAGGACAGTTTTCCCCCGAATGCCATCACTCTGTAAACAACTAATTCCTACAACACTGTCAAACTATTTACTGACTGTATTGCTATTCTTCTTCTCATCCTTCTTATTACCTATCTCTTCCCACTTATGACTATAACATTGTTGCCTGTATCTCTATGATTTATATTGTTTTATTTGTTTCCTAGTATAATTTGTTTGCTTATTTAGTAACCTATGACTGTCACTTTGTATTTTTTTCTTTTTATGTACACTGAGAGCATATGCACCTTGTGTGTCCAATCATACTTGGTCTATTCTATTCTATTCTATTCTATTCTATTCTATTCTATTCTATTCTATTCTATTCTATTCCATTCCGTTCCATCCCATTCTATTTTATTCTATTCTAATTTCCCTATAGCTAGTCATAACTTAATAACTTTAATTGGGATAGGAGTTTGATATTGTTAAGCAAAGCACTTATTAGGTGAAAAGCATGTGAATTATTAGTACCACTTTATAAAGCATTGATAAGATCACACTTGGAATATTGCATCCAGTTTTGGTCACCAAAATATAAAATTTCTATAAAACTAGAAAGTGTGCAGAAAAGAGCAACAAAGATGATTAGGGGAGGGGACTGAAGGCTAAAATATATGAAGAATGGTTGCAGGAATTGAGTATGTCTACTCTAATGAAAAGAAGGACTAGGAGTAACATGATAGTAATGTTCCAATATTTGAGAGGCTGCCACAAAAAGAAGGGGGATTAAGCTATTCTCCAAAGCATCTAAAGGAAGGACAAGAAATATATGGAAAGTAACCAAAGAGAGAAACAATCTAGAAATAAGGAGAAATTTTCTGACAGTTGGAATAATTAATCAGTGGAACTTTCCTCCAGAAGTTCTGGAGGCTCCATTGCTGGAGGTTTTTAAGAAAAGATTGAACAGCCATTTGCCTGAAATGGTACAGAGTCTCCTGCTTGAGCAAAAGTTGGACTAGAAGACCTTCCAACTCTTATTCTGTATTCATTTGAAGACACCACTTAGAGCAGCAGTTCTGACAATCCTAGTTGAGAGACTGCATCATTGTTAGGCAGCAACCTCATATTTTTCCCATCCTGCCACATACATCTCTGCTTCTACTCCTCACACACACACTCTCCCTTCATTCTACCCTTTTGACTACCCTGCACTTAACTCTTGTGCCATCAACTCCACAGAAGGCCAGCAGCTGGGCCCTGTCAGCAGTAGAATGAAGAAAAGGAAAGGTCAGCTGGGACAGTGAAGGGTGTCGGGGTAGATGTAGGCAGGGATGGAGTCAGGGCCAAAAGGGCAGGGGGAGATACAGAGGTAGGGGAAGTTGAAGCACTTTCTGTCATCTGAAAGGATGGCAGGCTGCCAAGAACATGAAGTTTGATTATGTGACCACGGGGATACTGCAATGGACATAACTTTGAGGACCAGCCATAACTACCATTGAGCCCTATCATAACTTCAAATGGTCACTGAGTGAATCGTTGTTAAGTGGAAACTACTTGAACCCCTTTTTCATTGCCAACTGGTCTACATGTCCTCTTCCTTAATTGTGAGAAAAAGCCAACCAGAGCTGCTTAAAATCGGAACAATATAAATCTTTTATAGAAATAAATCAATTCTGTGAAAGCATTTAGTCTTCAAGATCCATTTAGAAAATTGTCACATATTTGTTATGTCAGAGGCCTCATTTAGTGACCATGGGCACTTACAGCAGTGATGAAAAAGAAACTTTATCTGTCATCTTTGCATTTACAACCTTTGCAGATCAGTAAAAACAAAGGAAACCTGAAATAAGTTCATAAACAGTTGCAATTTCACTTAGTGGCCTCTTTGTTTAACAGTACAGTTGCCGGACCACCTCTACCCATAACACTGTCTACTCTTAGAAATCCCGTTCTTGAATTCTTTATGTATGTGATCATTTTTCCAAGTATACAAATTTAAATATAGGGCTTCATTGTGAATGTATAGATTCTGTTCTTACCTCTTGGCTGCTTAGTCCAATCCATACAGGCTCCTTGTATTTGAGCACTTGCAGCCATATGAATGATTCTGCATAGGGGTCTAGAATGGCAGCCAGTTTTGAATTTTCAGATTCACATTTCTTCCTTGCTTCTTCCCAGGTCATCTTGGGACTAACCATAGAATAGCTGCTATTTCCATAACTGATATAATGAGATGCTGGATCCGTTGGTTCAGAGTAAGGTTCAGGACCTTTAAAAAAAAATCAGCCAAGATCACCCATAGTGTAACTGATATTGTGAGATGCTTTTGGATCAGAGTAAGGTTCAGGACCTATTTTGTTTTTTAAAAAAAAATCAGCCAAGATCACACATAGTTCTGCTATTTTCTAATTCTGAAAACCGTTAATATTTAATTTAATTTTAGTTATTTAATCTCTCAGATCCATACTATGACCAAACTTGATACAAGAAATGAAGAGCACATTAAACAAATAGGTATAGTGAGTCACTTTAAGGAGACCTTAAGGTATACATTTATAATATAAATGTATATCTTTAGTTATCCCAAATATGTGAACCTTTGAATTCAGGACATCCGTTGAATACTTTTTGGCTAAATACCTGCTTCAATGCTACTAAAAGCCTTTATATTGGGCTTCTAATATTTGGTATCATAATTATGTTTGTTAGTTCACTTTATTTAAATACTTCCTGAAATTGATGGTAATGTGATTTAAATTTACAATTTCTATACATTCCTTCACAATGTATTTTCTTGGTTAGCATATCTGGCTTGTTTCAATCTTATTTGGCTCAATCATTCTTTTTCACCCAAGTTTTTCTTTTTATATGTATAATTTTTATTAAAACTTTTTAAAACGATAATAAAGTCTAACACAAACATAAAATGGGAAAGAAAATAAGAAAAGGAAAGAAATATTATATTATAAATAAATATTATATCGATGTAGTTATATGCTTAACGTCTCTGACTATCCTAAGTTGCCTCATGTTGATCTTCTTCCTAGAATCTATCCTATCTAATGATCAAAATCATAGTTCACAAATTCACTTTTTTCAAATTCTGATACTGATCTGTAGAAGATAATCTACATCAGAGTTCTCCAACGTTTCCGGCTTTGCGGACTGGAGTGGGGCAGTGGGTGGTTTGTGCAAGCGCCACCAAGCACAGCACACATGTATGCAGCTCCATTTGTGTGAGCAGTATGCATGTACACCTACTGCTCATCCACATGAATATGCGCACCCACACTCACCTGCTGCTCACACAAGTGAGGATGTGAACACACGTGCACATGCTCACTGGCCATTTCCAAAGCAAACCCCTTACAGCCCACCAGTGGGCTGTGGCCCACAGGATGGGGTCCCCTGATATAAATTACACTTCCTTATTCTCTGAAACTAAATTATTTTCCAAGATGTCTACAAACTTACCAGTATTTTTTTGGCAGATATAGGACATATTAGAAGAACAGGCTCCAACTCTCCAATATCCTGCAAGTCTTTCAGGTTTTGTCACCATAAAAACACAGTCACCCTATAATGTTTTTGCATAACAAGAAAGCCAAATACAGTCACTGGTATCATGATTGGTACAGTCTTTCTGGAACCCCTCTTTTATAATCTCAAAATAAAAGAAATGTGTTTTTCTTCTGTGAATTTGAAGGCTGTAGCAAGTTTTATGTGTCAGGCATTCTAAATCTGGCAGAATCCTTTCTTCTCTATACTTATTTTAATTTTATATATTTTTATTTTTTACTTCTATAGATCTTTTATTTTAAATTTCATTTTACTGGATTTTTATTTTCTTTAACTGAGTGTTGAAAATAGTAAAATTCTCCAAAACATAATATTCATGGCATATTTTTCATTTATAAAAAGAGCAACAGGAGTAAGACTGATTTTTTTTCAGTATTATATTACGCTTCAGTATTATATGGATGAGCACAGCAGACTTTTTTTATTTAACAGACAGAAAAGTTATCATATCACCCTGAAGGGCTGGTCTCAAGAACCTCTTACTTTACATATTAAGGTACGTGTGTTTGCCTCTAAAAATCCTATAGAAGATTTCAGATAGGATGCTCCTAAGCTGCACATTCTGCCTCCTTTGCCTAAGACAAGCTGAACACTTGTGACAAACAGAGATTTAGTGTACATAGATGCAGGACAGTTGGGTTGGAGGGAGTTAACTCTGATACTTGATACAATATTCTCCCAGTGAATCTCTTACCCCATTGACAATTTGGAAAAAAAAGATAGAAAGGAAAACTCTCCCAGAGGTTTTTGAGAACAACTTTGTACTGCAAGCACCTAGTTTAATTAGTGTTGATGCTTAGATCATATTCGAAACTCAAAGGTTTCAAATCCCCCCCCCCCGAATAAGGGTTCTTATCCCTTCACAATCATAATGCTTGTTCCAGATCCAGTTTATTCATTTATGCAGATTTAACAGATTTAACAGATAATCAGAGTTGGAAGGGACCTTGTAGGTCATCTAGTCCAACCTCCCGCCCAAATGGGAGATCCTACACCATTTCTGACAAATGGCAGTCCAATCTCTTCTTGAAAGTCTCAAGTGAAGGTGCTCCCACAACTTCCGAGGGCAAGCTGTTCCATTGGTTGATTGTTCTCACTGTCAGAAAGTTTCTCCTTATTTCCAGGTTAAATTTCTCCTTGTTCAGTTTCCATCCATTATTTCTTCTGGCCTACAGGCGCTTTAGAAAATAGCTTGACCTCTTCCACCCTGTGGCAGCCCCTCAAATATTGGAACACTGCTATCATGTCTCCCCTGGCCTTCTCTTTACTAGACTAGCCAAGCCCAATTCCTGCAACCGTTCATTGTATGTTTTAGCCTCCAGTCCCCTACTCATCCTGGTTGCTCTTCTCTGTACTCTTTCTAGAGTCTCAACATCTTTTTTGTAATGTGGTGAACAAAACTGGATGCAGTACACTAGGTGTGGTCTTACTAAGGTTTTATAGAGTGGTATTAGTACCTCCCTTGATCTTGATTGTATCCCTCTGTAAATACAATTTAGGATTGCATTAGCTTTTTTTGGCTGCTGTTGCACATTGCTGGCTCATATTTAGCTGGTTGTCCACTAAGACTTCAAGATCCCTCTCACAGTTACTGCTATTGAGCCTGGTTTCACCCAACAAGTGTACTTTTGCTTTTTCTTGCCTAAGTGTAGGACTTTACTTTTCTCTACATTGAATTTCATTTTGTTAGATATGGCCCAGTGTTCTAGTCTGTCAAGATCCATCTGGATCTTGAGCCTATCTTCTTGGGTGTTAGTTATTCCTGCCAGCTTAGTATCATCTGCAAATTTGGTAAGTTCCCCTTCTATTCCCTCAACTAAGTCGTTAATGAAGATATTGAAGAGTACTGGGCCTAAGACGGAACCTTGTGGCACCCCACTGCTTACTTCCCTCCATGTAGACTTAGACCCATTAAGGACTACTTGTTGAGTATGGTTTTCCAGTCAGTTGCGAGTCCATCTAGTGGTGGTGCTATCTATTCCACTTTTTTCTAGTTTACTAAGAAGTAGGTTGTGGTCTACTTTGTTGAATGCCTTGCTGAAATCTAAATATATTATATTCACAGTATTTTGCTGGTCTACTAATTTAGTCACTGTGTTAAAGAATGAAAAGCATTCATTCATTAAATTTATATGGCCAGCCATATCCTTTCCATAAAGATTTTGTATCATTGTAGGAATTCAACATCAAGGAGATTAATTCCACATTTGTGGGGAAATAGAACAGAAAAAAACCCAACAAATTGGACTTACATCGTATGAACGAGGTGACCCTTTAGCCCAATTTGTAAAATAGACTCCACTCCCATCAGTCCAGACGAAACGTCCCCACCAATTTGTGTCAGTCAATCCAGTCCAAATATTACCACTAACACTTTTCAACTGCACTGTGAGAAAAGCTGGGGGGAGAGAATACAGATATATTTTACAACCAAGTATTGTCAGGCTTATCACCAATTAAATTTTGTTCCAACTTTTCAAAAGTTCATTTTGATTATGTTAGATTTTAAAAAGTACCTCAGAATACCAGACTCTGCTCACATACAATATTTATGACAGCCATTTCTATGTTCCCATCTTAAGAACATCCCAGGTGATCATCTATAAAGCCTTTCATGGCATAGGGCTTGGCTATCTGAGGAACCTCCTATATTCAATTGTTTCTGCCTGCCAGGTATATTCTGGCAGGAGGATTCCTTCCTTTTGGATACTAGAAGGTACCAAGACCATTGACAGAACAGAACAGAATAAAAGGAGGATGGCAGAAGAAATTACACACAATTTAAACTGTTGCCATAAATTGAGTTATCCAGATTGCAGCTTCCATCTCTACATGGTGGTTCCTTCCCTCTGGAACATCATCACCTCCTTTTCATGATCCCATAATCCCTTGTGGGGTAGAGTCTGAGCAACTGAATGGAGCAGAATGTTTACTGGCCAGATGCCCTTCCTGTTGCCAATGTGGAATTTTATTCAGCAGATACCCTCTGGAACATTATCTCTCCTGGAAATTAGACTGGGCCCCACTTTTGACACCATTTCTTAAGGCCTGAATATGTGCTGGAGAGCTCAGAGTGGCATGGAGCTCATTAGATGGCTGATTTGAGTGTGTGTTGTCACTGAGAGTGGGTGGATGGAGTTGTTATTTTATTATTACTTTATTGTTATTTTTTTCTACATTGTGTTTTTATTGTCTATAAACTGCCTAAAGTAACTATGAGTAAATAGGCAGCTATATAAATTTAAATAAGTAAATAAAAAATTAAATAACTTTCACCTTTTTCCAACTGGCAAAAGATTATATAAACTGGAAGTTAGGAAAGAAGGTTGGGCATAGACATTCTTATAATTAAATATGGTTTAGAGAAGTGATTGTACCTTGAACAGCTTTGTTTGGTATACTAGCCAGGTTTCCTCCTAGGTTTCTGCAGTGATCACGCGCAGCACTCCAGTTTTTCTTCTCCTCTTCTCTGAAGCCAAATATTTGAAAGCACTAAAAGGATGAGAAGAGATTAATTAATACCTTGATTGATTAATTAATCAATCAAGGAAGGATTAATTAAATAAAATAGAAAAATTAAATAAAATAGAAAAAACCAACATATCGTCAATCATGAAATGAAATGGTAATTTTTTTAGCAGAACTTATTAAGTAATTCTGTACTAATAACAATTAAATTCTCCACTTTCTTTTGAAAAAAATATGAGCAATAATAAGTTAGCATTTTTGTTAGCATAGTTATATGCATCCTTATCTATTCTTTGTTATGTAATTGACTTCTTAATATTTTTATATTAATGATAGTTATACAGCCAGATTTGTCCCTGCTATCCTAGTTCTGATAATATCCAGCAGAGAGGAACTGAGGAAAAAAAAAAGTGCTGAAGTGTTTCAAAATCTTGGTGGCCTGCCTTGGGGATACCATGCAAAGAAGAAAGACTTTTCAAATTACATTGCTCAAGGATATGTACCACAACACTGTAAGTTACAGAGAGACCTTCACATATAATCTGTGACTTAGTCACTGTTCTGAGTGGCTCCCCAAAAGGTAATTATGACCCAGATTTAACGTTCCAATATCTATCTTCCTCCCACAGTCATGTGATCACAATTTGAGCATTTGGCAATGAGCCTACACTTATGGACATTTGCAGTATCCCATAGTCACAATGCCAAAATGTATTACTTTTTTTTTTTTTGCTGAAAACATGTTTATTTCTCTTTTCCATTAAAAAATTGCCCAATGCAGGCAATGGGTTCATTTAATGACAATGGCATTTGCTGCATTCACTTTACAGCTGTCACATTTACTAAACGATTGCGCCGGACATCGTTGGCTGCCTCTTTCGCAGCACGGGAGGCCTCCCCCGGCTGGCCAGCTGCTCTCCTCCTTCTCTGCCTGTTTGTTCTGTGTGACCGAGGAGGAGGAGACCGGCCGGCTGGTTGGGGGAGGCTTTCTGCGCCGAGGGAAGTGGCTGCTGGTGTCCGGCTTTGCTCCGCTTCTCCGATGGCCTGGTGCGGCCCTGTTCTTTACTTGGGCAGCCGGGCGCCCGCAACGGTGCCCACAGTGGCAACAGGCAGTTCCACCCGGGCTCCGCTCAGGTGTCCGGCTGGGGCTGTTGGGAGTTGCTGCCGCCGGCGCGGCCCCAGTCCCGCGTCGCCTCAGGAAGGGAAAGGCAAAGCGCTTTTTGCCTTTCCCTTCCCGGCTGGGGCTGTTGGGAGTTGCTGCCGCCGGCGCGGCCCCAGTCCCGCGTCGCCTCGGGAAGGGAAAGGCAAAGCGCTTTTTGCCTTTCCCTTCCCGGCTGGGGCTGTTGGGAGTCGCTGCCGCCGGCGCGGCCCCAGTCCCGCGTCGCCTCGGGAAGGGAAAGGCAAAGCGCTTTTTGCCTTCCCCTTCCC